TGCGCGGCGGGAAAGTGTCCGGTGTCCTTCTGCGGGGCGGGGGGGAGCTGGATGTCACGGCCTTTGGCACCTTGCTGCTGCCTCACCTCCTTGCCAGACCTCCTTGTCCTCCCCGTGCTGCGCGTCGCAGTTGTTTCGCCTCTAAATTTTGCTGGAATCTCCGGCCGCGTAAATGGAATTACAAGATCTACGTGTGACCCAACTCCATAGCCGTTCCCGCAGGGTTTGTGTCGCACTGTAACGTGAATAAGGCGCGTTAGACTTGAGTTGAAGCACAACTGCTTGCAGACCGGGCTGAGAGGAGAAACCTGCTCATTAACAGAAACAAAAAACGTTAGTGCCAACAAATGGGGAAAAACCTTTAAAACTGCTTAAGGGAGTTGGAGCACAAGTCATTCTAGAAGGCAAAACTCCCTGACACGGAGACTTCCTAAGCTCTCTGTGCTTCTTTTCTGTCCGTTTCCTTTAGTGTCTAATTTCAGCCTCCCAGTGCCACAAACCAGCCAGCCCTTGGTGCTCCCGCGGGGCTCAGGAATGGCGTACGGGGTTATCGTCGACTGCCACAGTGAGACTGTTTGTCTTGTGCCCAGCCAAGACTGGCTGTTAATTATTTACAAAACACCTCTGGCATTAGCAAGTCCAAGGGCAAAGTAGTGTTTTGACATGAAGTATCTTTTGCCAGGGAAGCGGTGACGCGCAGCTGGATGCATGTCCCACGGGCAGGTGATGCGAGGCATGGGAGTGCGTGGTGAGTCACGGCAACAGGTAACATCAATTTAGGATAAAGCGTTTCATTATTTCCCCTGCGAGGAGCGTCGTTTGTACAGCAGCTATTTCGTGCTAGCACTTTGCAGTGTGAATTGGCTGCGTTATTAGCCTGGCACTGTTCTGCATTGGTTGATCACTTTCCTCTTTGCAAAACGTATCGTCCAGGCCCTTCTCTTTCTCCCTGGCCACACTAAATAGATGCTGCAGGCATGGCACAGCAGAAGATGTTTCCCTGCCTGTTCTGTGTTAAGGTTTTCTTTTCGCTTTTGCTGTTGCCACAAACAAGGAGACATGTGTGTCTTGGCCTAAGGCCCGGGTGAATTCCCCTTTTTTCACTTTGTAGAGCGGCACACATTAAATGCAGGTTAGAAAAGCTAGCATGTGTATTTTGAAATTTAGTCCAACATGAAAACAACTGAAGATCCTGTGTGAAACACCTGCACGACTTAACTCTTGAAATTGTGGAAACTCTGGAATCAGATCGTAACAAGTGTGGGTACTTGGTATTTCACTCCAAGTGTGGATGTGCATATAAGTGCATGTGTGTTGGGGGGAGAGATTTAGATTTTTATGCTTGATATATGTTCTCACAGTGATCATCTTTCCGTGAGCTTTTTGAGAGTGATCATGAAGACTCACGATTCAAGAAGCAAAACATCCTTTTTCAACAGCTGAGCATCATACTGGATGTTTCAAAGCAACGTGGCTTCGAGAGCAGACTATCTCTGCCTTGCTGGCTGCTGCTCTGGTATTAGGGTGCACCAACATCTCCAAAATACATAGGATCAAAATCCTATTACAGAAACTCACAGTATTCCCTGCCTTTAGAGATAAATAAAGCTCGCCAGAGAAAATTATTCCGAGGTCTGAAACCTCAAGCTGTTGGGCTCCTTTTGGCTGGCAGCTCAGTTTTGGAGGAGTGCCAAGCTAATGCAGGAATACAAGTGGGACGGCAGAGGTAAAAATGTATCTGCACTAAGGAAAGAAAGGTGTAAACCACCCAGAACTTTAAGCATACCCTCAGGCGTAGCTGGTGATTACAGCTCCCAGAGAGGAACCTAGGAAACAGCAGAAACAGAGAGGAAACACGTCACAGCACAAATCAAGACACAGTTCTTGCATGGTTTGATACGGACCAGGGTGTCTGTGCACCGCCTGAGTCTTCATCTGAGGGCAGTGCTGTCCAGAGATTTGATGTGATATAAACCAGGGTGGCCTTGTGGCTGCCCTGTCCTGGGTGCTCTAAGCACACACCCTCCCCTCCCACACAGGGACATCTCTAGTGGCCCACAGTCCCGAAGAAGCAATGTCCGCTCCTGGAACAATCCCAGGGGTGTTCCACTGGCTTCATGGTTACCTAGATGAATGCAATCTGTGGAGCCCACAACAGATAGGTTTTTCCCACTGTGTCAGCATCTAATAATGAGATAATCTGTAGTAAATAATTTCCTAACCAAGACTATTCCAAAGAACATTTCTTACTGAGGAGCATTTTTTTTTTCCCCTTGTTTTACACACTCTTAAACATTAATGTCAATTGTTCCTACAACATACGTGCTTCATCATGATGGGTAAAGCCCCTGTTACCAATACGCTCACTTTCCAGCTCCAAAATGGTCTAATTACACATGAAAAGATTTCGCTGCTGATCAGCTGCTTCAAAGTGTTAGAAATACAAAGCCAGTGAAGTTTTGTTTGGTGCTACCAGAGGATGTCAGACTGACAGCACCGCGCAGGACCTGTACGGAACAAGTGGAATAACAGAGCTACCATCCTCAGTGTTGCTTGTTGTCTTTGTATTGTGCTGGTTTTTATCTGGCGATGTAAAAGCACAAGGATGCTGCAGAGGTCCCACAGGTGACTGCCAACAGGAGGCTGTGCACCATAAGGACTCTCGTGCCAGTTGGCACTACGGTCCTGCTGACATCAGTGGGAGCTGGGCTGGATGATAGCCTGACTTCAGCTGGAAGGTGTGCTTGGGGATTGCACGGGTTTTACTTAAGCCTTTTACTGCCTGAGTAATTATGACTGTCACTCATCTCTCCGGATTCTGATGCTACTGCAAAAAATCTGCTGTATGGTGCAGTACACCCAAAATCTCCTTGTTCAGATGTGCCAGCTTGGGAGGATGACAGGAACTTACACATTTGGCTAATTCTGAAGGTCGTCAGGACGGTTTCGGTTAGCTGTGAGTTACACTGGGGGAGCACGAGATCAAATCAGGGTGTTAATATTGCTGAGTGCCAACAGAACTGTCTGCCGAGCCCATTCCTAACACCGCAGTGGGAGCGAAGTGCTGCTGCAGCACTGGGGTCTAACTGGTGGTGATGCCCACAGCAACACCGACCATACCATGAGCGCAGAGGTACAGCTCTTCTACCTGCTGGACAACTGGGGAGTTGTCATGGCGGCGTTTCTCAACCTGTGCCCTCTCAAGTTAGGGGAATAGTCTCCTTCTGGAAGGAACAGTGAACTTCTGGAGATGATCTCTGTTTCACACAGCAGCACGACCACCTCAAAACTGTGCTGGTAGGCAATACCCTGCTACTCCTCGTGTTGCAGGCGTATTTCCTGGGCTCTGCTCTGTTTCTTTTTTGATGACACTGTATGAAGCTGTTAATATCACTCAGATCAATGCACAACTTGGCAAACTGATTGAGCTTAACTTTTTTGCTCTTCTTTATACTCTTTCTGTAATTGCTTACTGTCAAAAACAATGCTCACTCTTTGTGCCAGTTAACATGTGCTCTTAAGAATAAGCCCATGCACAGAATAGAAAATCCATGAAATAACTGATGTAAGTGCTTAGTAAGAAAGCCCTAAAATGGCTGGAATTTACATGCTGACCAAACCTCTGTGAGATCCATGTGCATGATGTGCATGTTCATGTGGCTAGTAGAGTGCTCCATAACCCATGGTGGTATCATGTCTGCTTATGTACTTTGTCAGGTCCCCGATACCATGTCCTTAGAGAAGAGACTGGGGAGGAAAGCTGCGTCTCTTTTGTGGTGGTTGTTTTCAAGGGAAAAATTAAATTTTTCCCAAACTGTTAGCAGGGCTTATAAAAGCCAGGTAGTGATAAAAGCTAATGTCTTCTGCCAAGAAGTTCTCTGTTGAATGCAGTCTGAGATGGATGCTATACAGAAACACAATCCCAGGAAAGCATCTGCAGCAGATTATCTGGGTATTGGGAGAGGAGTATTTCAGATTTAAGATTAGTGTCAATAGAGTATTTTTTTGTTTGATTTTTGTCACCTGAGTTTTTCTTTAATCACTATAACTGTTGTTTGTTTTAGATGCTGTAAACACAGGCTTCTTGTATGCGTTTCCACTTTAACTTGACTGGAGGTAAAGGTGATTTCAGGGTTACTGGGCAAGAGGGAGGCACTCCTCACCCAGTGATGTGGCCAAGTAACGAAAGGGATGGTGGGGGAGTCCAGCAATTGCACACTTCCCAGCATGTGCTCCCAGGGAGCAGGATGAGCTCTCGGAGTTTGTCGCTGGCTTGGTTAGCAATAGTTGTTCACTAAAAGCTTCTCTTACTCATCTTGTAACTTCTATACCCTACGGGACCTGTGGAGGAGGGAGTGCTGCCCCTTTTTCATCACCACTTCTTATGAGGGTCTCTCTCCTATTAAGGCCAGGTACTCTGAAATAATTCCCACTTTTTTTTTTTTTTTTTTAATGAGTACTTATCTAAAGCTGTGCCTTGGAACACATACAACTCAGTGGGAGGATTCGAGATGACTTTCAGTGCGAGTGCCTCAGGCCTGTTAATAACTGAAGCTCTGACTCTCTCTTGATTAGTTCTTTATATGCAGATCATAATATTAAAAAGCTGAGGGAGAAGGCGAAAAATAATAATTTTGTAGCTATTTTTCAGTTAGTTTCCACATGGGCAGGTTAGACAGGAATGAAAAGACGAACTGCCTTCATTTGTCCCACCTGTTCTCATCCGGCCTGTCACTGGATCCCATGTGAGATACGATGGACTGCCAGTTCTTAGTTTTCAAGACGCAGGAATAAATCATCTGATGTTACGTGAGGCTACTGAAATATTGATCACACGCTTCACACAGCAAATAAAGGAGGAATTTTCAAGGGGAAGTATTTCATGTCGTCAGTATCTGGGAGGCAGTTCTTCTGGTGGTGCTGGCTCTCAGCAACAACTTACTGCAGCAGTTTTTAGCAAAGCACATGGACGGGAGACCATGTAATGGAAAGTGACATTGCCTTTGAGGCAGAGAGAAGCACATGTATCCCAGGCCTGATGGAGAAACATCCAGGTTTCAAAGCTGCTTGTTGAGTTCAGTGCTACTTACTGTAAGGAAGGGTAATCTGCACAAAGAACGGCTAAGAGCATGAAAGGAACTCTTCCAAAGCGATGTAAGGCTGCTGAAATCTCTGAGGTCAGACAGGGGGAACTCCTATACAAGAAATCAATTGGTTCAGTTGGAATAAGCCTTGTTCCTATTCCCTTGCTTGGCCTTGCTCAGTTGTGGTTAAATGAGGAGAGTGGATGATAATCATCTGATAATCCGGCTGTTGACAGGCAAGGGAACAGGTGGGAGCCTTGGCTTGTCTTCTTACCAATGCCAGCTCCAGGGATGGGTCCAGCACTTGGAAAAGGAAGAAAGATGTTCCACAACCTAAAAAAGGTGCAGCGAGATGGCTGTTCCACTGCTCAGTGTATCGGGAGAGGACCTGGAATAGCCAGTCTGCTTGCTCATCTCACCTATGTTCCTGACTCAGACTGCCCAGTTACCCACCACGAGAGAGAGTAACTTTTCTCAGTAATTAATTAAATATATTAGGAAAGACTTCCCAGGCGTAGGGTGCAATTTCTGATTCAGACCAAAAAGTTAACTAGGTCAATTTCCAGCAGAGACTTTAGTTTGATATGGGAGACCTGGCATGAGGGAGGCTAATGCTCCATGCTGCTGCCCTGTATCCACCAGTGCCAGTGTATCCACCAGTGCCAGTGTCACCAGTCGATCCCAGCTATTCTGGGATCTTTCGGTCCCAGAGTTCTTGGATTTTGTGCCATGCCACAACCAAGGCAAATTGGAAACTGTGTACGTGTAAACCAGCACCCTTTTTCACAACAGTTAGTAGGAGACTGCTAATGAAGCCACTGTGCTCAATCACTCTCATGTTGCTAAAGTTTTCCGCTTCGTGTTAATAGATAATTCTTTTCATCAGACCTTATTCTCTGTAATAGCAGCAAAACCAGAGCTCCAGGCCGAGTATGTTCTTTCTAAGCTACAGGTTGCTACTGCAAACTGCTGTCTGCCACCTTGGTGTTTCGCTCTCTGACTACACTTTAGGTTAATGCATTGATCAAGCCAGACATTAGATAAAAGACAGAGTTTATTTAAGATTGAACACTCATTTGTAAATGGAATATGCGACTTATTTTCCAAAGTGCAGGACATATTGGCTCTGTTACAGATTTACCCAGAACACCTGAAAAAGTGCTGAACTGTAGTTAGCCAAGACACTGTTTCCATATTACAACTTTATTATTCGACTCTAACTTTCTACAGCCACTTAACTCCATTCAAAGTATTTCAAGGTCTACTGGTCATTCCTTACTCTTTCATTAACCTCTTCCCATCACCTCTAAGAAATTAATACTTGGGTTCCTACAAATAAGGTATTTTCATGTCTGCTGTAATGATTTCAGGTGTGCAGTTGCCCTGTAGGATATGCTCCCTTTTGTCTCTGTCATACCTGCAACACAGTAACCTGGTATTGCATTAGAAAAAGCTGCATTAAGTTTTCCAGACAATACCTCAAGCAGCATAAGTGGCCATATTTTTCTTTCCACATGGGAGAAACAAAGTTACCTAGAAAAACACATTACTTTTACATGGGGTCCTGTATGTTTTTCCCTATGAAAAAGAGACAGTTCCGACTCGAGAGACCCTCCAAAGTTTATTTTGGTTAAATGATGTCAGCACACTGATTTCTAGGGGCATTGCATTCAGCTCTGGCTTTCACGTTTTAAAAAGCTGAGTCCCTGAAGAGTACCAACACAGGCTATGCGAGTTTTACCTTACTCAGAGCATAAGACAAAACGGAATCCATCACAACGGTTGGGAATAAAGCACACACAAACACCAATGCTTTCTCCTTTAGCTTCGCTACCATGTAACGTGCCTTGGGTGCAGGAGATGTTAAAGCATCTACCATAGCATCTACCACCTCGTTGCCATTAGCGCTCCCTTCGCTGAGGATGCTGTTGAAAAAGTTTGCCCGCTCTTGAACGTACTCCTTATTGTAAACTGCCTTTTCCTCTTCACTGAGTTCGTTCCAAATCTCTTCGGCACTGACTGGTGGCTGAATTTTTGTAGAGCGTGCATAATTTCCTGGCTGAATAATACAGACCTAAAAGCAAGATGTAAAACTTATCAAGATGCCATCAGTCATTCGGAATTCAATTAAATACTACAGTCAGTAAAACAGATCAAAAGCTTTCTGCAGACAGATTTCTTCCAGAAAACGCTGCTTTGTTGAAATTCTAACCTTGAAAACTTGACTGAAATCAAATATATTCCTGTGAAACGTTTAAGATTGCAGAGGTGCTTTATTCTGACTTCCTCATTGCGCTCTGTTGTTAATGTTCGTGTTTTGACTACTCAGCATTCCTTCACGGAACGCAGTAGCGCATCTTTGATTTTTATAGAATGCTTAATGGTATAAATGTTTTGACAATACTGAGACAAAGCATTTCAGTATGACTTTGATGTCTCCAAAGTGGAATACTTTGGATTTTTCACTCGATGGCAAATCTTGCAACGAGTAATTTTTTGTCCCGATTCGGGACATAAGAAGACGTCAAAGAAAATTAGAAGGTCCTGGGGAAATAATTGCTGTTTTCCCCAAGCAGGTGTAATTAAAAGGAAAATAGGCATTGTCAGCCAAGTACAGAGGGGACCAAAGGTCCTGGTCTAGCTCTCACTGAAGTCATTAGCAAATTTCTTTACATTTCTCTGCACGTAGATTTAAATGGAGAGCACGCAAATCCTTTTTTGCTGGTCTTTCTAAAGGAAGACACATGCTTCGTTTCCTATAGGCAGCCAGCTTGCCTGGCCAGAGCTCAGCGGGATGGAGCCATAGCTCCACCTGCTCCTTGCTACCTCTGGGTGACTTTCACCTGAAAGGGCAAAGGGAACGTCAGGACAGGGGAGAGGAGCACAGGGAAGAGGGACTGTGTATTCCGCAGCCTCTCTGCGGGGTAGGTTCTGAGGCAAGTGCCAGCCAGTGTCTTGCATACAGTGAGAGACAGAAAAATAACTCTTATGGATATTCTGGAAAAGTTTATCAGCCTGCCTCACTGCATTGTGTGCTGGGGCTATTCCAGGGGTGGGGGCACAGTAAAAATCCCAAACCAACCAGAGTAGCTAACCTGTTAAACTAAGCTCTTCCATGCATTTGAGATTATCCTCAGCTAATCAGTTCCAATCCTCATCGTGCTGTGTGGTATTAGGATGTGTAAAATCACTCGCATTTTATAGCGTTTTATATTTATCTGAGAGAGGTAGCTAATAGATGCATGGCTGTGATTTCTTCCAACGCAAAGCTGAGGAACGGTACTGTAAATCTATGTGCAGTACACTAGTGTAAATCCTCCACGGAAGACTCATAGTGTTTGAGAAGAGTGTTTCAGCCGTGGAGTGACTACAAGGAAAAAGCCTACTGAAGCTACTTAGTGATCTAAGCTACAGGTTTGACTATCACTGTTGCTTAGTCAGGGCACTAAGAGCACTCTTAGAGCCTCTTAGGTTAAGAGAATAAAAACATAATTCCTCTGCACAGTGCTGCCTCTTGCAGTGTAGCTGTTCCCACAGAAAGGAAGGAGCTTTTAAGCACTGATGTCATGAGAGAAGAGAGGGAGAACGAACCCCTCAGGTAGGTGACAAGTCTTCCTTCTCACTGCACATCGCTCACACCTGGGCTCTTCGCTCCTCCAGCCACCCCAGAGAAAGTTTCAGTTACCTGGTACTGGTACGAGCCGTTCACAGAGCGTGGTGCTGCTCAGGCAGCCCTAACTCAGAAAGTTTCTACACTGTGGAGGATGTGGAGAAAGGGTGGAAGTCTGAGTGTTGGCACAAAGAGGAGGAGTGCTATCCCACTGCTGCTCAGAACTGCTAACATTACCCAGGCTCCCTATTCTCAGTGATTTCCAGCTCCCTGATTAGCCACAGAGAAACCACCTCTTTCCAAGGGGAAGCTACATCCATGGATTCAGCTCTGATCTTTATCTTCTCATTCGGATGCATGGAGGTTACTTTGCACAAGATCAGATATTATTTTCCATATGCTTGTTCTTGTTCCCTTGGCCAAAATTTCCACTCCAACGCCATTGTCTGGTGTTCTTTGTGCAAGTCACTTGCTTTTTTTCCCAAAAAAAGATGCATTTCAGCTCTGTAGGAAGCTTCAGGAGTGAAACTTCTCTCTTTCTCATGTGAAAATCAAAGTTAGAAATAGCAGGGACTTTCATACAACAGATACTTGTCACATTACTTACCCGGACACCAAACTTCTTCATTTCCAGTCTTAGGGCATCACAAAATTTTTCAATAGCTGCCTTGGTCATAGAGTAAATGCCATTTCCCAGAGTAAAATAGGCAATAATGCTGGACATGAAAACAATACGTCCTGGAAAGAAAATAGTGCAAATAATGTAACTTCACTTTCAGTCTTGAAAATAGAATTGATTTACCTGAGTCTTCTGAAGTGCTAATAAGGTGGTACTTGGCACGATGCTGTTTTACTACCTAGGATGCCAAAGCTGGGCTGGGTAAGCGTGCAGTCCCAGCACAGAAGTGCACTCAGCTCTGTCAAGCAGAGAACATCACACAAAAATCTTCCATCTAGTGACAGAAGCTGGACTAGACACAGCGTAACATGTTCCCAATGTGCTGCTTATTCCTTCTGAATCTGAGACAGGATGAAAGAGATGGAAACAACGCAGTTCCCTAATAATTTTAGAGTGAAAAGTAGTAATAAAAGATTCTGCTAGTAATAGGAGAAGGACTGCAGAGGAGAGGAACAGATGATTTTCCCTGCAGTGGATATATGACTCCTAATACCATTTTTTCTGCGTTAATGATGTCTCTGCACTGAGACCTGGCTTACAGCTGTGCATATAAAGTCAAAATCAGACCGTACAGTGATAAGCTTCCCCAGAGAAAGGTAACTTGACAAAACATGTGCAGCTTTACACTGCCTTGCTGTGACTTCCCTGATCTCTGCTGCTTTTTTCCCTTTTGTAACTCTCGCCAAGAGCAGGCGTGCATTAAATAGCAGAGATTTCTGATTCGAGGCGCTGGGCTGTGGTTCATTTCCGTTGTTTACTTGCAAACTTCCATCACATAGTCATGCCATAGAGCAAGAACTATGTGAATATGGATATATAAATACCAGAGGTGAGAGAGAAGATGGCCTCGTCACTAACCATGCAGAGAACGACGTAGCTGCTTCCCTGCTGCTGTCACAGAAGCAGATAACGTCTGGGCTCCAATCTGACCAAACGGTATAGGCTTGTGGGGATATCAAAAGGGTATCATGGGAATGCAGGGAAATCTGTCATTTTGAATTAGGTTTCCTGCCTTCCTACACAGCATCTGGAATAAATCTTACATACAGTAGCAGAACAACTACCAGTGTGCTGATCAAGATGCTACATCAGCTGGCCTGGCCATCTGGAAAAGTTAGGGGGAAATGTTGCTCTCAGAGTAGGATCCTTAATTCTAGGCTGGAGGGCAATACCTCTCTTTGCAAGTATTAATAATCTTGTTGTTTTTCTTGGAACAGGTGCTCATCCTAAAATGGCAGTCCACCCCTTCCTTCAGAACACAGCTTCTGGGTGGTAGGATGGTAGGATGACCTCTGCCTCCTTTCTCCAGTAGCTAAGTGATTTAGGGCACACAGCCAGGATGTGGGACATGTCATTTAACTTCTCTCTTTGCTTAAGGTAATCGAACCCCAGCTTTCCCAGGAGAATATTCTAACATCCATTATTCAAGCTTTTAATGTGGAGAGGACACTTGCTGCTTCCAAAAACATAAGCTTTAGCTGTCCTGGCTGTTCCTGCAAGGAAGGAGACAGGAAACCTAGGATTCTTCCTAGAAGTGCCCTGGCCTCCTCTCCTACATAGATGGGACTTGAAAATTGAGTGCGGGCAGTTAATATAGGCAGCAGTGACCGCCAGGAATGAGATGCAGAGTCCTCTTTTGAGATAAGGTACTATGTATGTGCAGCCATCCAGATCCAAATCTTCTAAAAGTTTGTGCGTGTGCTTAATATCATACACACCATTAGTCCCTTTCACTTCAAAGTAACCCCTTGCAATTCATGAAGTCAGATAAACGCCTCTGGTGGATGAGCATCACAGGGTTTTAGCAGTAAGTAGGACATCACAGAAAAAAAGTGATGTCTCCCCATGTAGTGGTCACAGAACACGCTCACTAGGTATATGCAACAGCACATTCTTTTACAAAAAGACATGCAGCTTGCGGTATTCGAAGGTTTCTTCTTTCTTGCTTCAGAATATCATTAACCAAAGGCAGCCAAGCAGAAAGCAGCAGAGTAGCCGAAAAAAGGGATGCTTTTATCTTACCAACATTTTGTGTAACAATGGCATCTGGGGCTTCCAGATGAAACCTAGCCCTTGCTGTGCTCGATGCTGTATACACACAGAACAAATCCCCACCTTAAAGAGCTTACAACTTAAATAGACAAGCTAAGCAAAAGGGGCAGAAAGGAAAAGGGTATCTTTCCCAAATACAGATGGGGACAGGTAGGGAACAGACTGTGAAGCAAGTGAGACATGCTGCAATGCTGTAGAGGGCTGTTTGAACCATTTCTTCTCAGAAGAAAGGATAAGATAAAGTCCATGCATCTGGAGGTCCATGCAAATGCATTAATCCCATTTGATATCCATGCATCTCTGTACTGGCACTCTTTCACATACTTGAAGTTTCCTGCCCAAGGTCATAGAGAGGATCCTGCTAGGCCTGGAGCTGGAAGCTGGATGTCTCTAGTTCACCTCTGTAGGGTCATCCTTCCTCTCCTAATTGCCAAACTGTAAAACAGTAAAGCCTAAGCAATAAAGGTAAGCAGGAGTTTTCTGGATCTTTGTGTTTTCTGATTGTCAGTGCTTACAAAGTCTTGCCTGGGCTTAATGACCTACTGTAAGCACTTTTTCTCCCTTTTTGAGTCAAACACTGAGATAATTCATTATTTGTAAATACTTTTTTCTATCTATGTATTGTAAAGACAGACTCTTTAAGTGTATTTTTTCCCCTTACGACTTTACCCTCTTCTCAGGATCAAGTTGCTCTTTCAGGCCACACAGAAGGAGGCTGTCATTTCAGTTCAATGAGAGACAATTAAGGCTTCTTTTATAGATGCTACATTACCCTGATTATAGTAAGCTAATTATTCTACAACTCTAAATAACAGTGGATTAGCATTACCCTTGTATTTCCTTAGAAGAGGAAGAAATGCCAGGGTTGTCCTGATGCTCCCAAGGAGGTTCACATCCGCAAATTTTTCATACTTCTCCATAGACAGCCACCCTGTCTCGCCAAATGTTGATATTCCCGCATTGTTGACAAGCCCCCAGAAACCTACGGAAGAGAAACATCTCAACAAGCATTTTTCACTGCAAAACAACCACCAGTAGGTGACAAAACAGCACTAGTCGTTTGAACCCTTGGAAACAACTTTTTAGTTGTGTTATCTTTTCGTCTTTTCTACTTATAAGCACAGGCGTGTTTTGCCTAACGAAGGAATGAAACTGTGACCATTATCTTAACTATGGGAGTCTCAGTGCTATTTAATAATCACTCACTTTATAGTCATCTTAAGTTATTTATGAATAACATGATCTGGGAGACTACATCTTACTGCCAATGCCGTGTACCATGATATTTTAATTACTGTAATCCCACTGTGTGCTATGAGCAGCTTTGTGAAAATTATATTAAGCAGTCTAAAGGCTAAGGGGTAATGTTTTCAAAGTGCCTGGCTAATTTAGGAGCCTAAGTCTTGGCTCCTTTTCCAGGATTTTGAGCTTCAATTCCTTCCGAAATCGGCCAGAATCAGGTACATGGGTGCAGCATTAGGTAAAGTAGCCAAGTAAGGTCCGTAGCTACAGTATTTTCTTGATTTTGTACTCTTGGACAACTCTGTTCTTCACATAACAACAGGTTTTGGTACTAAGAAGCGCAGCTCCCTAAAATGCAGGAAGATTCCAGTGCTTACAAGCAGAAATTTATCGGCACCAAAGCTTGTTCTGACACACACAAGCCCTTTCGCCCAGAGCCACAGGGCACTCTGCGTGAGCACCGGGCAGCGCTGATAACCTCAACTGTTGGCAACGCTTCTTCGTTGGAGTGTAGAGCGCTCGCTGCTCGGAGCCGGCGTGCTGGCTAAACACTGATTGAGCCACGCTGGCTCGTTCTTGCCCTCAGAGTATGTGTCTGCAGATGTATGGTAAAGCAAGGAGTGACATTGTGCTTTTCTTGAAAACATTCCTCTTTCTGTCCTCAAATGCTGACTGAGGGCATTTCTAGGGTGACCAGTGGTGGAACTAAGAAGTACCCAGGGTAGCCTGACTTGCGCTGAAACAGCTACGTCTGCAGCCTCTCTGCCAGCCTTGACAATTTTTCTAATGCATTTTTTTTTTAAAAAAGAGTTTTTGTACCTGTCTGAGGCAAATGATTGTTTTGTCATGCCTTCTACAGGATCTCCAAGCCTAGGTTTCTGGTGAGGCAGAGTGAGTAACAGCGCCTCTCCTTCTTCTTCTGGACACAGAGTCCAGGGCACGCGCGTGATGCCGGCCCAGCTGGAGCCTCCTGTACCCGTGGTGGGAAAGATCAGTGAGACCTTTTGTCATCATGGTGAAAGTGCTGCAGAAACGCTTGAGCTGAACTCTTTTCTTTCTGATCTTCCCTGATAAACCTACTGTGATGATTTCATGGTATCAGTCCTTCCAGAGCCCTGCCAAGAACTGGATTTCATTCACGGCAATAGTTAAAGCTGAAACAGACAATATTTTGAATTTGTTTGTAAAGCAGACCTCTGTAAGCTTGTATTATATAATGAAATTGTTGTTTAAACAAGGAAACAAAGTTCTTGTAAACAAGAAAGCTGGAGAGGGACTTTTTACAAGGCTATATGGTGATAAGACAAGGGGCAATGGCTTTAAACTGAAAGAGGACAGATTTCGTTTAGATATAAGGAAGAAATGTTTTACATTGAGGGTGGTGAGGCACTGGAACAGGTTGCCCAGAGAAGTTGTGGATGCCCCATCCCTGGAAGTGTTCAAGGCCAGGTTGGATGAGGGTTTGAGCAACCTGGTGTAGTGGAGGGTGTCCCTGCCCACGGCAGAGGGGTTGGAACTAGATAATCTTTGAGGTCTCTTCCAACCCAAACCATTCTATGATTCTATGACTTTCAGTGAATGTCTCATTTGCAGGGCAAACATTCAAATTCAGGAACTTAGATAAGTCTGTCCTCCAAAGAGAGTAAATACTATTCAGCAGTCTGTCACATGGCAGTCCTTGACACTGGGCCTCTCTTATAACTTCAGATACAGACTGACTGCTGTTCTCGTCATGCAGCAGTTTCTTGTGTACTCACCTCTTTTCCACTGCCCCAAAGGTTAGTGGACAGAGGAGAGGAAATGGACCAAAAATTTGGCCACTGGAATTGGGCATTCTTCTTCTTCCTGCCATTGCCTTGTTGTTCCAGGCCCATCCATCATTCTGTGGCTTTATTTCTCCTTCTTAAAATGGAACTAGCTCCGTGGGACAGACCTCCTTATAAAACGCTTCAAGATCAATGGATTAGAGATTCCTCTGTAAAAGCTAATTATCAATATTTTTATACTTGCACATGATCTGATCTACAGATGGACTGAGACACTCCATCTGTTTCTAGGTAAGGCTGGAGGTCTCTGTACTCAGGTTTATTTTCACATAACCTAACCCTAACAAAACACAAACTAAAGCCTGGCATCACTGTAAAGGCTATTCCCTGACCTTCTCAGCTTTACCTTTTCTATTTAAAAAAAAACCAGTCATTTTGCTTCTGCCACTGCATCCGGCACAGCACAGTGAGAACTCTTGCTCCAAACACCCCTGAATTCATTAGGGTTTCATAAATACAGCCATTAAACTTTAGACAATTGATTTTCTTCCTCTTTCTCTAAACTGTGAAACGCAGAATTCAGCTTGCAGGGCTTAAGTTTTATCTCCAGCCCTTTGCCAGCTTTCCCTCATGGTCTTCAAAGACTCCAGGTGGTTGGTGGTGAGGCCAGCATGTGTGTATAAACAGAGTTCACAGAATAATGGCTCCTCCTTTCTGTTCAGTGTCAAGAGGAGAAAAACTGGCGTTGAGTTAAACTGAAACAGACTTTTCTGAAGAGAAGATTAAGTAAAACATAAAAAGACATTTTGCTCGGGGTCAGCTCGAAACATTTTGTTTGCCCTCAAGCGAAACATATTGTTTCTCAGAACATTTTGGCATTCCTTTCCTGAATGGGAAATGTTCTGATATTTTCCACAAATTTTCCTGTCCCTTTGTTCAGTAGAATCAATTTGCAAAATTCTACCCAAGGAACGAACAGGTTATTGTTCCCTTATGACACTTTTTTGGAAAATTTCCTACCTCCTGAGAAATGACCTGCCCAGATACGTACTCGGTGTACTTGAGTCAGCTTTTTTCTTCCTTTCCTGAAATGTTTGTGGCAAAAATTAATGCTATAAACCTGCATACAAAATATTTTGTACATTTGCTTAGACAAATGGAGCTCAGGTAACCTGAGAAATACAGTCCTTAGGTGGAAATCTAGAAGGACAAGGGAGAAGTAAGAACCGAACAGCTGAAAGAAAGAGACATTGCATTTCCTCTGAGTGTTCATGTGTGGACACATTAGGAAAAAAACAGCTGATGTTTTATCTGGAAGGGAAAAAATCACTCGGACTGTCAAAACAGAATTCAGTCCAAGCATAATTTAGGAAGAGGGGTGTTAGACTATGGTAGAGCAGGCAAGGAATAAATAAACTGGAAAGCAGAACTGGACGTCAAAGAGATTTTCACTGATCTTTCTGTTGGGGAAATGGATCCTGAGGACAAAGATTAAGAGATATAACAGGGGATCTAAAGGATCACTTTAGGAAACCTAACTTAAGATTAGTGAGGCTTTCCGGAGAAAAACACCAGCTCTCACATAACCTCCCACATCAATTTCTACTTCAAGATACGTTGACCAAAAGGCATATACCCAAAGTCCTTATTTAGGCCCAAAAGATGCCTGATGTTTTTCCAGAAACTCTTAAAAGTCCTCTTCCTATTCAAGTCAATCAAGCTGTGTGCTCACAAAACCTTTTGAAAATTGGGCCGTTTATATGTAGGTGCCTACACACAGATAATACCTGAATTCGGCCAGAGTTTCTGAACTCCAACATGTATTCTTGGCATCACTGATCTTTGGAATTTCTCATCTAAACCTGAGCCCACGCAAAAAATGACAGGCTCTTTCCTGAAAGATTCCAATCCAATACTAAAGGAAACTAGCCAAAGGAAGGAGAGTGTGATTTGCAACATTCCTATTGAAAAAATGAAGAAGACAGGGAACAAACCAGTCTGTCTGTGGCAATGCAGGGTGTCCGTGGTAACAGGCCAGCTGAGACTCCTGAGCTTCAGATGTGAGTATTATGCTGTGGTTGTCTTCCTCGCAAGGATGAGTCTATCTTTGTAGGAAATCTGTGCTAAAATATGGTACAATGGGCCTGCTGGGTGGATTCCATCAATAGGAAATCTTAATGAAGTGGAGGAGAGTAATAACCTAGGAGGTAGGACTAAAACCAATACCCCTCCCTTCTAGCTGGCTACACGTCCCCCATTCGCAACAGGCAAGAAAAGGAAGTGAAATTCCTGTTCTAAACAGAAGCAAATCAGGAAAAAAAATAGGTCTGCTGTAGAGCTTAAGAGAGTTGCAAATCACCATGCAAAGTCCCAGTCTACTTCATGTTGGTTTTAACGTGTGCAAGAAGTTTCTTCTTTTTAAACAAAAAGGACTCTAAATATTTTAGAAAGTTATCTTAAAGGGGGCGCAACCCATAAAAACAAATAAGAAAAGCCTCAGAGCCAGCGGATTTTTTCGGGGGGACAGTTAGTTAGCTCTAGAGAATGAGCTATGTACCATGGCAATTGATCTGCTGTCCTTTTCAGACTAACATAATTTCACAGTGTAGAACAAGACAAATATTTACAAGGAAACAAACTATGAAGTGGCAGAAAGTCCAGCTAGCTGTGCTGCCAGTAGTTTGGATTTCTACTCTTGCGTAACGGAGAGAGAGGGAAGACGAGGTGGAGCTTGGGTTAGTTATCTCATGGTTATGGCTTAACTAGGTGGTGCAGGGAGTACTGTACTTTTTTCCTGAGAGTTAGTTGTGCATTTTATACTGAATAGTCTACTTAAAGCAGAAAAGATCCCGGGCACAGGAAAACACCAGAGCACACAAAAAAATACAGGCTTTACAGTGTCGAACTGCAGCCTCTTCAACTTGGGTCGAGGTTTGAAGCAACTAAAATCTGCCAAAGAACAAGATTCAGGAGG